ACCTAAATGTGTTAAAAACGATTTTAAATTGAAAAAAATTACGACACGGTCGGATATTGAACTGAAGTGGCATCCACAGCGTTATGTTCTGTTGCTCTAAATAATTGGATTACTTTAGAGTATTTTAAATTTTTATTATTTTTCTCGTGTTATTGCATAAGATGGCCCGTGCTTTAACACGTACCTAATACGTAGATTTTTATCAAATCGTAACAAAGTAACAAATGATTCAATATTATAATACTTACTTCTACAATTGTCTCTCTCTTGTCTTGTTTCTTTTTAAGTTGTCATTGTATAATGGATTTCTAAAATTATAAACTTTTCAAAAGCAAGACAAAAACATCTTAAAAAGCGCCAACTCGTTCACAAAGTTGTTTATATACAAGTCACCCCTTGTCTGGGAGACAAGCAAGTAATATTCGACGTACAATATTCTACCTTCGCTATTAATATTGATGCGACCTTTGTAACAGTTTTAATAACTGTAATGAAAGCTGCAAATATGATGCAAGAGTACACAGCGCGGGGTGCCAACTCGATAAGGGAACGTGCACACGAATGAGACGTAGCGTTTTTAAAAGTTATTGCTTACTAACTCTGTCTCTTTCTCTCATTAAACAAAATATTCGAATTAATTTTGATCACTATTTAGCATTTAAGGTAGTCTGAAAATATACTAATCACATTTGTTGTTTACGAAGACACAAGGAACTAATAGAACTAGTTTAATCGCTAGTCAAATCACAAGTTCAAAATGAAAAATGAAATGTTATCTGTTCGTTCTGCTTACCAAATCTACTGTTACACAGTGATATGAAATCTTGTTCTCCCCTTTGGAGTGTAGGCAAACACATTTTTAGTGGTCCGTTTCAGCGATAAATTTTATTTACAGGCAAGAAGTTGATTTCTGCGCCCTTATTGATTAAAACAATTCTTCGTTTCCCCTTAATTTGAACCTAGTGCTTCCTTAGCTCAGTTTCGAGATTAATGCTATTCTAGATAAGTAGGCATTCAGGTTTATAAAGGGCCTAGCATATTTTCTTTAATCTACACATTTTAGGTGAAATAGCGTTCCGCTACGTCTGCTATTGCGTCCCGACCACTGGTTTCATTTCGTGGCGTGGTTTGCTCGCAACATGCATTAGTAAATTACACACGTCGACGTCCGCATCTACTCTTTCAAACTGGGGATTTGTCGCGAGATTTGCACTGAATCGTAATTAATTTGTTTAATTAACGGCTTCGGGCTTATTCACTGACGACGGCTCCATTTCGCGTTGAATGTGCGAGTTCCTTATGACGCTGCTTAATTAAGAACCACGTCTATTAGAACGGAAAATTGGAAGTCCATTTTGCGTAGCTGTTTTAATAAAACACAATGCGATCTGTCGGGGCGTGGTTTATTATTTAATATAGTTAAATATAGATGGTTTAATTCATTATAAACTTTCACGTTATTATTTAAAATATTTTAGTTAAATAATATGTTCTTCTTAACTCTTACATTTTTTTTTAAATAAAGTCCCTAATTTGTTTTTTTCTTCTTCTTATGACATTATATAAATGCATATTTATCGTCAGAGATCCCATGATAAGCATAATATGGTACTTTTTCCACTTTCTTCTAAAATTTCGTCTAACAAGATCAGCGGGTAAAGCTATGCGTTAATAGAGTTGCACGCACGGAGGTTTTCCTTTTATTTAGATTATCGTAGCGGTAAGAAGAGCTCTCTACTTAAGCCACCGACCCCAGATCACTTGAATGTGTCGGAGTTGTTCGCCCAAAGCACTGAAGTTAATGCCTTTTTATGTTTTTATTCCATTACAAACGGCCCCGGGCGGTTTGTCCGCGGCTCTGTGAGGGTTTGCGTACGCTTGGTTTGATTAATCTACACTTTTTGTCGAGTGAAAGTCAGCCGCGGTGCCGTTTCACGTTTATACAACGACAGGTATTTGGTAGAAGGTTTTTTGTTTGGCCGAAAGGGAAATAAATAAAATTGAGTTTGAAGTTTGATTTTTTTAAGACAATTGTAGACCTAGTGCTTGTCTATTACTATTACGATTTACTCTATGGAAGATAAAATACTCCAGCCACATAACATCAGCACAAGATACGCTGTCGCTGTTTTGGATATGGACACGTGGAAATCGACAATACCTACGAGCTATTATATAACATTATAACTGAATTATTTTGCATGTACATCTATCTATCAGTCTTAATAATTCCAACAGTAAACTGAAGTTTTAACCATTTGCGAAATATTTTCGAAAAAAATAAATAAAGAGAAGCGAGCGAGTTTGTTGCCGAAGTTTTTTCATTCCAGTTTGGTTTTTAATCAGGCAACTTTGGAGACTGACCGGTCGCATTCACATATAAGATGAGCACATAGCTTTTTGTACTACCAATGTTGGTAGATTTATTTATTGAAAGCACAATGGTTACGAAAAAAGAGAAGACGAAATTCGGATCGAAGGAAATACAACGGTTCTTTTTTCACTGTGACTTTTCATTAGGCAATTTTAAATTTTATGGAATTCTGTTGGTGAACAAATGTTCCTCAATGGTACACTTGCGCATATAGAGTTTTAGTAGGATTCGATATAATTATCCAACACAATTGTACTTATCATATTCATTACCTGAAATCACACTGAAAATCAGGATTGCGCCTTATGCAAAACTTTGCTAATGGCTCGTTCTTGCTATCTGAATGAAATTTATCAATACTGTATTTTATAAGTTATTTAGATGTTAAATATCTTATTATCTGTATAAATCTCAGGTTAGAATGTTTTTGGTGGCAAATAGAATTTCTTCTTCTTTCCTTCTTTCGATATCGAATGAATCACGTTCTCCCAACAAAAAAGGAGCGCACTCTTCTAACATACGCTTCAATTTGAAAATATAAAATGCCGGCATTAATGAGAAATAGCTTGTGCTCGTTATGCGTGGAATCAAATGGGGTAACTATGTGAAAATTTACATCAAATGCTTCAGAGAGTATGGACTCTGCTTTAATATTTTCAGTAACGCCGCCTTTGTCGGAGGCACTTTTAGTGTAATTTGTTTTTCAGAAAATGTGACCTTAGTCAAAGAAAATTTTGAAGCAAGCTCGGTCTAACGAAAATTATTTATTGTAGTGTTGTTTTTATGTGGAAGAAATAATTATTGTTATTCTTATCGGTAAACATTTTAGTGATCGAGTTATCAATATAGATACATTAGTCATCTCAAGAGTAAAGTCGTGCTATTTTTTCATTGAAAATATATTTTAGAAAAATAAGTTCTCAGCATTCAAATATACAACATTCAGTTCACCAAAACGTTGCTCTGTAGATGCCGGTTTTTTTTAATTCTCCATCCTTTCATCATTGCTCGGCACGCGTTTTGTTTTTGTTTTATCAGAAAGTATGTCTAAAACCTAGTGTCCAAGATGAACACAATGTCTTAACATTACTTATAGCGCAGTTTGCTACTTGACGCATTATTCTCATAACAATATTAGTAAAGTTGAACGAGGTTCGCGTCGCAGGGCCCAATAAATTTATCTAAAAGGATGAGTATAATCCATACTTTACGGGAATGGATGTTTCGTGTTACGCTGTAAAGAGCGAGGTTATTAATAATAAACTTGGTCCGGCCGATTGCAAACTCCTGTAGATTGTCGAGTGGATTGGATACTCCGATATTGGCTAAATGGAATTAAGAAAATTTTCTACCCCCACACATTTTCCTTGACGCGGTCGAGGTATTGGCGAGGCCTGAAAGTTCGGGGGTAATGTGAAGCTAGTTTATTTTGGGGCGTTTGTTAATATTTGATTGTTGCGTGGCTGCGACAGGCATGATGGTATAATAGTATTAGACGTAATTATAAACCTGATACTCGATATTTGAAACTCGATAATTTGCTTTAAGTGAATATATAGAATGGTCAACTTCACAGTAACAAACTCTTGTCCAACCATGAAAACATTTTAAAAAGGGGTTTAAATGTTGATATGATAATGAATATAATGACCTCAGAATGACTTTCATATAGTGCATAATAACGTGTTTTTATTTACTTTTATCCTCTTTGTGTTTTAAGTTAAAACCACAGCCATTCATAAAAAGTCGACACTGTACTATGTTAGGAACAAAAAGCGGAAAATTGCACTTTGCAATAGCCATTTTTGCGACAGTCATACACAATAAAAATTTTAAAACGCTTCCCATCAATTCTGCGCTGTCACAATGTAATAATAACTTTGCAATAACATAAATGGCTAGTCGAGCCGCGTGCGCCAGAAATGCACCTGGGACTTAGACCGCGGCGTTTATAACGATTTGCGTGACGTACACTGCTGCATAGAAGAGTCTTATGATTTTTTTAAATCTCCAGGCAATGTAGATAGTTTCAATTCAATTGATATTGTATAGTATCGTTTTATATTAATTGTATTTAAAAATTCATAGTTTATTTGTAAAAATGTTGTTTAGGCCTGAATTTCCATTTAAATAAAACACTTTTAACAGTTTTATACTTGAGGTTATTTTTCAACCAGACCCCCCCCTGATCGAAACTGCTGCAAAGTATCCAAAACGTCGGGTCGCAGTTAAAATACATAAAAACCTATTTCGCGTTTTAAAGAAATATGTTTTTTTTTTATTTTATTGATCACTCGCGCGTAAATATCGAATGACAGCTTATTATCATTCTAATTAGTATGAAGACGGAATCACAATGTTAAAAACGAAAATATTTTTTCTTAATTAGCCAAAATTAGGCTTACTCGACTAAATGCGCGCCATCGTTCGTATTTTACCGTTGCCGAGCTAGTGCGGTGCGCGCGTTAATCGCGGTGGACTAGTGTTGTGTCGTTTTTGCTAAGGATGAGGAATATTCATATCAGTTGTGACTACAAGATTAACAGAACAGTCTGCGTTCGCGCGTCGTGTCGTGCGGTCATTGACCGACGTCAGCTGTTCGGTGTTTTGTTAAGTAACCAACAAAATGTCGTGTGAAATAGTAAAATGCAATAGTTGTAAAATAGTAATTAATGAATTACTTGCTTTCGTGCAAAACAAGTGTGATGTCATGGATGTGGAAGGAATTGTCAGGCTCTGTGTTTTATCCTTTACACAGACGGAAATTGAAGTGGCAAAGAAACTACTCATCCAATCTCTCTCGCCTAGCAAAAAAAGGGTGTTATGCAAAAAGGGAACAAAAGCTGAACGTGATTTACGAGATATTGTTGCGTTTTTAAAGGTATGTGAACCCGAATCCATACCCATATTCGTAGCAAAAGACTTACAAAAATTGCCACCGATTACTTTTGATCACATTGACGTCACTCGGGTCCTCAAAGACTTGATCGTCATACAAAACGAAGTGAAGAAAATTAGTTCGACCTACCTTACTAAGGACGAATTTTACAAAAATTGCAACATGCAAGGTAGTCCTGATAGAACCGTTAATTTTAAACGCGGAGGGCACATTCGTACAACCGAATCAGCTGATATCTCAGCGCATGCGCATCGGTCACCGCCCGCTTGTCGTCTATCTCATTCTATCTCGGGGAGTGAGCGCGAGGAGGCGATCTCGCTCCCGCTTGCGGCAACGTCGGCAATCACCGGTACCGGTTCGGAGGCCCCTACCGCGGTTTCGCCGAGCCTTTGTTGTGTGACTCGTGCGTCGGAGTCGAGGCAATTATGCGCTAACATAACGGGTAATAACGATAAGGAAAGTAATGTTGAATGGCAAGCAGTGCAAAGAAAAAGGGACGCAAATATAAATATATTGGTCAAAGAGGGGAAGCGGTAATTGATGCCGATAGTAAATTCAAGCCTGCAGAATTGTACGTACCTTTATTCATCAATAGGGTCAATAAGTGTACGTCAGAAAAGGACATTCACGATTATCTCGTGAATAAGACGCGCTGAGGTGAAAGTTCAAGAAAAATAACATCGAAACAAGACAAAAGCTACGATGCCTACAAGGTATCTGTCCCAAGGCTTAAACTGAATATTTTCTTAGATGGAAGCCTATGGCCTGAAGGTGTTACGTATCGTCGTTTTATTAACTATGGACCTGGATCCCATAAAGGGCTGAAAGATAATATACATAAATAGTTTTAATGGATAAGTCGTGCAAACTAATTAGCTTTAATTGCAAGTCAGTTACGAGATGTGTCGATTATGTACGCAAATTGTGCCAACGAGCGGATATACTTGCCCTGCAGGAAACCTGGCTTCTGCCGCACGATTTGCAGTACTTAAACAAGATTGACGAAGACTTTGGTTGCACTGGGACTTCCGCAGTAGACACCTCTGCCGGTATTCTTAGAGGGAGGCCATACGGCGGTGTTGCACTACTTTGGCGAAAAAATGCCTTTGGTTCTGTGACAGTGTTACATTGTGCGAGTGTGCGGCTGGCGGCAATTCGAGTGATTACGGGTGATACTAGTTTCCTCGTATTTTCGGTCTATATGCCTGTAGATTGTGGTGAAAATCTGCCTGAATTTACGGAGTGTCTGGCCGAAATAAATGCTTTGTTGAGAGCTCTAATGTCCGAGTGCTTTTATTTTAGGGGACTTTAATGCCCACCCTGATGCTCACTTTGGCAAGGAGCTGTCGCACTTCTGTAGTGAGCAACGGTGGCGCTGTGCGGACATGGAGTTCTTAGGCATTGCGTCCGATAATTTTACTTTTATAAGCGACGCTAATGGAAGTCACCGATGGCTCGACCACTGCATCGTTACGGAGGCGGCCTACAATGCGATTTCAAGTGTTAACATACTCTACGACTCCTCGTGGTCTGACCATTTACCACTACTAATAAACTGTAATATTGGTGTTTTGTGTTCGGGATCGGTTGAGGTAGATCGAAATAAGCATAAGATTCGCTGGGGTGAGCGTAACAGTGAGCAAATCGATCGCTATCGCGCTTTATGTAGTGCTAAGTTGAAAGATGTTAGCTTCCCGAATGAATTGAGTGGTTGTTGTGACCAAATGTGTAGCAATATTTTACATAGAAATACTATAGATAATTTGTATGCGCATATTATAGACATTCTATCGGCGGCAGCAGAAAGCACATATTATTATAAAAGTACTGTAAATAAGGGTAAGAAAACTGTGGTGGGGTGGAATAGGCATGTTTATCCGTTGCATAAAGAGGCACGGCATCATTTTCTTTATTGGAAGGCGCACGGGCGTCCAACCGCGGGTCCTCTTTATGATAACATGACGAAAACGCGGCGTTTATTTAAAGCCAAGTTGAAATGGTGTCAAAATAACGCAGATCGGATAAGGATGGATATTCTTGCCTCCCACAATACAAACAAGAACTTCAGGCAATTCTGGAAATGTACAAATAAGCTGAACTATAGGGCTAGTGTTCCCCAGAGTGTGGGTGGTGTCTCAGAACCGGAACAAATAGCAAACTTATTTAAAGAGCATTTTAGAGTCGAGCCGCCACCTGCATCTTCGGCGTCGGTGCTCGCTGCTGAGGCCTGTCGCGCTATTTCTAGCCCTCTGGGGTTCAGTTCGAGAGAGGTAGCTTCATGTTTAAAACGAATAAATAGGGGTAAATCTCCGGGACACGATGGACTCAGTATCGAGCATCTGGTGCATGCTGGTGAGCACCTGCCTAGAGTGTTATCAATGTTTTACACGTTTTGTATAAGGCATTCATATCTTCCAGCGGCATGTATGAAGACCATTGTTGTACCAGTAATCAAAAATAAAACGGGAGATCTTTCGCAAATAGATAATTACAGGCCTATCTCATTAGCTACGATAGTCGCGAAGGTGCTGGACAGTCTGCTTAATGACCACCTTTGCAAACACGTAGATCTAGATGACGCACAGTTCGGTTTCAGGCCGGGCTTGTCCACGGAAAGTGCAATATTCTGTCTTAAGCAGACGGTCCAGTACTACACCGCCAAAAGCACCTCGGTCTTTGCGTGTTTTTTTTTAGATATGTCCAGGGCGTTTGATACAATTTCTTATGACCTTCTTATGCACAAATTAAGAACGAAGACAAGGGTTTCAGAGGAAGTTGTAGGAGTTTTTGATTATTGGTACTCCAATCAGGAGAATTGTGTAAGATGGAGTAATGTGGAGTCTGAGACGTATGGGCTAAAGTGTGGGGTAAGGCAGGGGGGGGTTACATCTACCTGTCTTTTCAACCTATACGTCAATGACCTCATAGAGCGTCTTAGGAGCAGTGGTGTAGGCTGCTCAATAGATGGAATAAGTGTGAACAACATTAATTATGCTGATGATATGGTGTTGCTAGCTCCCTCGGTGAGCGCCATCCGAAAGCTCTTAAAAATCTGTGAAGACTTTGCTGATGCTCATGGCCTCAGCTACAATACAGCCAAAAGTAAGTTACTCGTTTTTCAATCGCGAGGTGATAAGATAGGCGTAGTTCCTGCAATAATGCTCAAAGGTGTACCACTACAACGAGTAACTGAGTATAAGTACTTAGGTCATTGTGTCACGGAGGACCTTTCGGATGGAGCTGACCTGGAGAGAGAAAGGAGGGCTATGGCGGTAAGGGGTAACATGTTGGCCCGTAGGTTTGCACGAAGCTCAAACGATGTCAAAATCGTCTTATTTAAGGCTTATTGCCAATCATTCTACTCGTGCAGCTTATGGGCCTCCTTTACACAGAGAGCACTGCATGCTATTCGTGTGCAATACAACAATGTTTTCAGGTTGTTATTGGGCTTGCCAAGATACTGTAGTGCGTCGGGCATGTTTGCGGATGCACGTACAGATGGTTTCCACGCCATCATCCGCAAGCGTGTAGCTTCCCTCATGTATCGGGTTCGACAAAGCACCAATGGCATTCTGGGGGCATTGTGTGAAAAGTATACGGTGCTGCTAAAACGATGGAGTGACGTCCATGCTCCCCCTACGCCTAGCACCTATTCTATGTATTCTGTCTATTTAATCTTAGTGACTAACACATTCTAATATACATTTTAAGTTAAAAATTGTTACTAACCCAACTAACGCACATTAGAATTAATTAATTATGTATTATTTTAAAATAATGTATGGATCTATGGTCTGACAAATAAATTATTATTATTATTATTATTAAGTTGTAAGTTTTCTTGTAATATCACATATACATCAATTAATAGTATTTACCATCCCAACATTAAGCCTAGCGTATGAAGGGTCCCTGAGCTTGTTGTTTTGTTTCATTTTTTTTATTGATCGTTAGGGCGCAATGTACTCAAAATAGTTTCCCATATCTTGTTAAGTCACATTAAATGAAATATTAGGGCCGCAGATGTAATTCAAGACAGTAATTCCGTTAATCGACAGTTATATGATAATAGTGTTATATAAAGATGTCGATACTATATTATTATTATGGTCATGAACTAAGATATAATCATATTAATCATGTTCTTAGGAAAATAATAATGTATTAGCATTTATATATAGTGGTATCTAATTTGGTATTTATGTAACCTGGAACAGGCTTAACAATTAATTGAATTATAATAGATGTGATTACTCGCAAACGACTTAAGTTCTAACTGGTCAGAAACTTTCTTTTGTTTTATGAATAACGGGTTTTTGGTTACGATTGTGATGTATGCTTAATCAATGAATCGTGGGTTCGATCACCAGGTCCAACACCTTTTAAATAACTATATGATCTGGAAATCTGGTTGTTTTCATGTGGGAAATTTCGAACATCCAAAGCCAAAATAGGTCGACAACAACTTGTTGAGATATTACTGGCTATTGCATTTACCTTCTTTGTGAAGTGAACCTGGATGCTGTCTGTCCTTCGCTATCAAAAAAAAATTTAGCTTAAAATACCGTAATTCGGACTTGAACCTGTATCCATAACATGTTAAATTCCATAGTTAGTAAGATATTTTGAATTTGTGTTTTGACAAAAGGAGACAATACGAGGCGTTTGTTAGAAACAAATTAAGAAGAGTCGACATCTAATGTCAGTGTATTTAAATTCAATATTGAATCGGCGAAAAATGTCGGATTCATTCTAAGAATCTGAGAATCGGCCGCGACTCTTGGCTGAAGCGTCTTTACCGAGAAATTTCCATAAATCAATTTCAATACAAACACCTCTTAGTGAACTCTGCCCGCGGTTGAAATGAACCTGGCGCCCCATTTGTAGCGTCGAATATTAATGACATAGCCCAGTATCTTGACGCAATTGGGGCTGCTAGGGGCAGAGTGGCCTAATAACAAAAAAACATGATTTTCACTTATCATTTTTGTAAGATATTAACAATTTTGAGTCACTTAGCTCTTGAAGATCAATATTCATAGCCTATGAAAATATAAATAATTCATGTCATAAAATTGCAGTTAGGCTACTCTACCTCTAGCGGCCTCAATTATAGGCTGTGCCCCATAGTGCAATATGATACTTAGATATATTGCATAGAAATTGTATGCGTGGCCCCAGCTATTTGATAAATAATGTTTTTTGTAATAACTCAAATTTTTTCCGTCCATTTATAAAAATTTTAATTAATTATAGAATCTGGAACGCTTTTGTTGTGGGTTAGAATTCTGCTCGAGTCATCGAATGTAATTTATAAGGATACATTATATAAAAGCCCATCAACATATTATCATAGTTGTTGTTCAATAATAAGCTATTCATCAACACTTGATGCCAATTCTTTTCTGCTTAAAAAGTGAATCAGTTTATCGCTCGCACAGAGAGCAAACATTTCCGTGACTTGGAAAGAGAACGACTCTCGGTGGTTGCGACAGTTGGAACGCAGTTATAGTGATCGAATTGACTCAACCTCAATCTAAAGGTATGTTGAATTAATAATACTTCACCAGAAGTTTTATTGAAAGGTCCTCGGAACTCTGTAGTCTAGAAACGATTTTTCTACTCTCTCTCTCTCACTGTACCTAGCATGATTTTGATGAGCGCTAACAAGGGAAATGTACAACTTCATCACTACTTTGACATTTTTCATTGATTATACATTTTGTAAATTAAAAATCTATTTACCATCCTCAGCATTCCACGTTATTGGCGTGTTGGTTAAGATGTTATATGGCTGGGTTTTTACCTACCATCAAATGAACAACATGTTTGTCTTGACAATGATGACAGTCGGTCAGTACACAATTATAAGTTTACGTACATAAGTAACGTTTTCTTCATTTCCTTAATTTAATGGACTCAGAGCGCTGTTCACTACAAATTCAAATCGCCACAGCCACTCAGCTTATTTAATGATGCCAACCAAGGACCCGTAATGAAAACTTATTTAATAATATTTTTTCCAACTGCCGTTCATTTCTATTTCTCTTTTACATATTCGTAAAGGCGAAGTTCAAATGAATCCACTGTAGTTCCGCTAACTCTTAAAATACGACTGTATGAAATGCAATTTTAACTTAAACAAATAGAAGTGTACGAAAGTACGACTGCGCCGTTGTTTTTTCGTGAGGTTAAAATGTTATCTTATATAGAACGGTATTTTCTACTTTAAGATGGCGGGGAATAGTTTCGTTTACTTTACTTGTGTAATGTTGAAACATTCATTTAGAAATTAAAGAACAATAAAACTGC